AGTTCTAAATGATGCTCTTCATTGGTGTCCTTACTAATGACAGTACAAATATCCCTCCTTTTTCATACACAAGGAATTCTAAGTTGTAGGAGATAGGGCCACTTAGCTGGCACCCCGAACAACCCACCACCAAGCAGGACTGGGGCTGGGCCCCAGCTTGCAGATCTGCAGTTTGGAGCAGCGAGCTACTCTCAGTCACATAAGGGCTGCTGTTTTCTGCCCAGGTCCCATGTGGCCTGTTTGATATTCAAGTATTTAAAACATTTATTTATTTGGCTGCACCGGGTCTTAATTGCAGCATGTAGGATCTTCGATCTTCTCTGAGGCATGTGGGATCTTTAGCTGTGGCATGCAAGCTTTTAGTTGCGGCATGTGGGATCTAGTTCCCTGATCAGGGATCAAACCCAGGCTTCTGCATTGGGAGTGCAGAGACTTAGCCACCTGACCACCAGGGAGGTTCCCTGCTGATCTGCATTTTTAGCAACAGGTCTGAGAGGAGGCTTTTCCTTCTGCTTGGGCACAGGTAGGACTTGCTTGGGGGATCTACAAATCTCCCAAAGCTACGGGCAAAGCTGAGTGTGTGTCTGTGTCTGCGTGTTTCCAAGGATCGGGTTTCTCAGTGTTTATAGCATCCTCTGTGGGCCCGAAGTGGCTTAGGATCACTGCATCAGAGCAAACTGCAATCTAACTGAGTTCCACTGAGCTGAGTTCTCTTAATGCCATAGCTTAGAAGGAAGGAAGGAAGTGAAAATATTTGAATACAACAGAAAAAATGCCCTTTGAATACAAATCAAATAACACACCTCTACTATGTTAGGGAGTTCTCTGTGACTTTCTGTAAAAACTCCAAAGACATTAGGGCCATCAGGTTAATTGTTTTTCTTACCCAAAGTGGAGATGTTAATAATTCCTGTCCCACCACTCCCCCCAGTGTTTTGTGAGGATGAAGTCAGACAATATATATGAACTCATTTACAAACCATATGCTATTTTTGTATATGTAAAGTATTTTTATTAAGAAGGAGGATGGGTTGATGGAAGAAAACATGGCACTTGGGAGGAAGGATGAATTTTATTTTGGGGCCTCACCTGACATCCTGACATCCTGTGTAAAGGTGGTGCTTCCCACTGTCTGCACAGGGGGCCTGAGGCTCCGGTCCAAGCTCGATCTTGAAGCTACCATTCTGGATGCTGATGGTGGTGGGAAAGAGAATACTGTACACTGAGAGGAGCAGAGCAGAGAGAAGCTTGCTTGGCAGAAAGAACAAGTGCTTTCTAAATCCCCAGGCAGGAGTTGAGGTTTTAGCACACATTTTGTCTCTGCCCTAGGTATTCCTCCTGTACCAGTTCGAACACCAGCGAGATCCTAAACAGCTAAGAGTACCAGTCATTCACACTGATGTGTATATGTGTGTGTGTGTGTAAATCTGTGAAATGCATTACTAAATTGGTGGGCCTGAGATATGAGGGTGGTGGGTGCTATTCAAGATGGTATGAGGGGTATTCAGGGTACAAGAAGGAGGCAGCCTGGAACTGCCTGGTGAGTGTCCCCAGGCCAACTCAGGACCCTTTATTCTAGCCCCCTAGCATCCAAGAGGACAGATACAGGACTTAAGTACCAAAGGGACATCTGTTAAATACTGAGCCCCAGAGAAAAAACAGAGTGGGTGGCAGAGAGGGAAAAAATAGAGTTAAATATTTCCTCTGAGCAGAGAAGAATGGACCCAGGCCCAGGGCTATAATTCATGGAGCCTTAGATGAATCTCCAGCTGCTTCAGCTGTCTCCACATCTGGGGGAAGACAGGCCAAGAGCTCCGGCACTGCTGGGAGCCCGTGGCTGATGTCTCCACAGTTTAACACTTCCTGAGCCTTCCAAGAAGCTTCCCAAATGCCTCAGTGGATGTCGTCTGCTTTGCCTGACTCTGGGGCATGGTGTCCATGAAAAGCAGATTAAACATACTTGGGACTTTCAGGGATCTTTGCCAGAGAATGCTAGAGACATACAGAACAAAAATGGTATATTCTTAAATCTATTTTCTGATCTAAATGTGAACATGGTAAGTATTATTTGCTCAGTCATGTCTGACTCTTTGCGACACCATGTACTGTAGCCTGCCAGGCTCCTCTGTCCGTGGGATTCTCCAGGCAAGAATACTGGAGTGGGTAGCCATTTCCTTCTCCAGGGGATCTTCCTGACCCAAGGACTGAACCCAGGTCTCCTGCACTGCAGGCAGATTCTTTACCATCTGAGCCACAAAGGATACCTTGAACATGGTAAACCAATGAACTAATAATACCTGATCTGAGGAGTTGCGAGTCACGCCTCCCCACTGAAATCTTGCCTGGACCATAGAACTTCTTCTTCCTTTCTCCCCAGCTCTTTTCTCCTTAATTCTTATTTCCTGTTTGAGAAGATATGCCAGGATGCTTGATTTTTTTCAAGAGGCAGAAGTCACCCTTGGTCCCGATGTTGGTGAATATTTAGAACCTGAAAAGGTTGAATTCTGAGTCTCCTAAGAGAACCCCTCTCCAGCCTCAGGGCATCACCCTCTGGGGCTGATCTCCTACCTGAAATCTTCTGCACCCACCTGGCTCAGCCATGCCGTCCACACCTGCTCAGGGGACTGTCATGGAGAATCGTGAAAGGAAAGAAAGCCCCGGTTTTGATGAGTTTCCAGTCAAGGGTGCCTGTAGCCCAGTCCCAGGAAAAGGTGTAGCATTTAATTAGCAAAAGGCAAGCAGTTCAGTTCAGTTCAGTTATTCAGTTGTGTCTGACTCTTTGTGACCCCATGGATTGCAGCACGCCAGGCTTCCCTGTTCACCACCAACTCTCGGAGCTTGCTTAAACTCATGTCCATTGAGTTCGATGAAAGACAAGAAGTTCAAATCAAATACTCATTTGCTAGAAATGGAATACACAAATGCTGAAGGAGCTAAGACAAAAGGAGCCATCAAAGCTTTATGAGTTAAATGAAGTGGTTTCCTACAGGAGGCCAGAGGTAGAGACAAGCAGAGATGAGGCTGAGAGGGCAACCCTGCACTGGGGAGGGGGCGAGCTGAAGCAACAGCTTTGCAGCAGAAGAAGCCAAATTGATTAATTTAGCCAGAGCCAGGTTTTCATGGAAAGGGTAAAAGAGAATGAGTTATGAGATGAGCAAAGCATCTCTCTGGGCAGCCTTAGACAAGGAATTTTCTCTAGACCTCAGTGGCCTCCACTATGACATGAGGGTCCTGGGCTGGGTGACTAGGGTGCTGGGCTGAGGTCCCCTCACAGAGGGGACACAGATAATTATGGGAGGAGTATTTCGGGCAATCCCAATTTCCCAATCCTCCTAGGAGCTAGCCTGACCCCCATTGTATTTCTGTAATTTTTATTTATTTTTCTTACTACTTTTTATTTTGGCCACACTGCACAGCATGTGGGATCTTAATTCCCCAACCAGAGATCAAACCCATGCTCCCTGCATTGAAAGTGCAGAGACTTAACCACTAGACTGCCAGGGAAGGCCCTTACTGCCATTTTAGATCTGGAGCCCCTGTCTGCTGTGAGAGGCTGAGCTGAGGTTAGATTTGGGTGCATTCATTCATTTACTCTGTATTTACATATGTGTGTGTGTTAGTCCCTCAGTTGTGTCTGAGTCTTTGTTACCTCATGGACTCTAGCCCACCAGGCTCCTCTGTCCATGAAATTCTCCGGCAAGAATACTGGAGTGGGTAGCCATTCCCTTCTCCAGGGGATCTTCCTGACAGACCCAGGGATCGAACCCAGGTCTCCCTCACTGCAGGAAGATTCTTTACCATCTGAGCCACTATGGAGAGTTCCTACTGGCCAAGCAGTGGACCAGGCCCTGGATGGGTAACAGTGCATGAGACAGAGGCGGTCTGACTGTTGTTCTAGTTGAGGGATTGGGGGGCAGATAGTCAATTAAAGAGTAAAGATCCAAGTGAACAAAATAGGTTTAGATAGAAGTACATGCTGTGGAGAAAAATAAAATACAGGCTCATAATCATGATTTGGGCTTGCTAGGTTGGGTGGTCTAGGAAGACTTCTCTGAAGGAGTGGCACTTGGGCTGAGGCCAGAAGGCCAGGAATAGGTCAGCTCAATAGGTGAAGGGTATGATGGCCAAGCAGAGGTCTTCAGATCTGACAGCAGGGCATGCCCCAGTCTTTCTCTGGGGAAGAGGTCTTTTTTATTTCCCAAAGATCTTAAGATCTCGGAGGGTGGCACTCGTACTGTCCTAGCGTGAAAGCAGGGCCACTGGAGTGACCCTGAAGGCCCCTGAGGGGAGATAGGAGAAGATGGGCCCACCAGATCTCCTCTCTTCCCAATAGAAATACCAGAAACTCCAGAAGGTGATGATGGAAGCATCTTGGAGGATCAAGTAAGGCTTGGTAGTAAGAAAAATAATAAAGAATCCGCCTGCAATTCCCAAGATCTGGCTTTGATCCCTGGGTCAGGAGGATCCCCTGGAGAAGGGAATGGCTACCCCTTCCAGTATTCTTGCCTGGAGAATCCCATGGACAGAGGAGCTTGGCGGGCTACAGTCCATGGGGCCACGAAGAGTCAGACAGACTGAGCAACTAACACAGCAACAATAAAAATATGAACAGCACTGCTAGATGACTTTAAGAATGCTTTTTTATGATGCATCAAGCACTTCTGAGCACTTTTAAAAATTTCACTTATTTAATCCTCAAAATGAGTATAGGACATGGTTTGTATCAGTATGCTAATTTTAACAATGAAGAAACTGAGGCTTCAGGAGGTACAGTAACTCACCCAAGCAGGCACAACTAAGATGGGGTGGAGCCAGGACGCACACGGGGTCCTCTGAGCTTGGGTTCTCAGTCATCGCGCTCTGTTGCCTTCCACAGGCCTCCAGCGGTCATTCAGTATTTGATCCGGAAGTGATCTTAGATGGTATCTAGACCTCAGATTTCCAATGCAGTCTTCTGACTGAAGACCTCTGATGGTGGGTGGTCCCTCTTCTTTTGACAGATGAGAGTGTACAGAGTCAGAGAATCAGATAAGTGATGGAAATGGAGGGTCCATGTGGAGTTCTCCTGACTTCTACTCGAGTGACTGCTCAACCTGCATTCTCCTGGAGCCTCAAGCCTGCTTAGGAACCCCTGGCAAGAGCAACTGGACAGAAGTGCAGCTTCCCAAGAGGGGAGAGACCAGGGTCACAGAAAACGACGCACAAGAAAATCGGTGTAGTGCTGAGCACAGAGTAAGGGCTCAGCGTACACGAATGCCTCTGAGGATGCCCACATGGCCCATTTCTGTGCTCGAGGTGTGACTGGGGAAGGGGAAATAAGGCCAACAGGTGGGGAAGGGTTTCTTCTCCTGAGCCCGTCATTGCTGGTGACACATCACAGTCCCTACCAAACCCCATGGATCACGTAAAATGTCATTGGAAACCTTGTAACTCACCATTAAAACTGCTGCATGTAGGAAAACAATTGCCTGCCCTAAAGATGTGACTTATGATCGCCCTTGGTTGTCTGTGTTTCTCTTTAATTACAGCCCCTCTTTAAACACTTGGACACAGAAGGCCTTTGTCAACGTGAACTCTCTTTCTCACAGACCTCCACATGCACACTCTCCCTTTCATTTCCAGAGCGTAAACACCATCTCTTACTCATTCACATAATGAATTTCAGCACCACACATCTCAGCTGAAGCGGGGCCCCAGGAGAATAGTGGGCACCAGAGAATTCTTCCTGTTCCAAAGCCCCAGGGGGGCTCTTGCACCCGGATCCTTTATGGGGAGAGAATAATGGGCAGAAAGTGCTCTTTCTGGGACCAGTCCCAGCGTTCTCTTCCCTTCCACAGCAGAGTTGTTGACTCCAGCAGCCACTCTCCTAAGAAAATTCCAAACTTCTTCCGCACATCCCCTTCTCATGCTTCAGATCTTCATGCACTGTCTCACTCCTGCTCCTCCTCTTACAAGCTCAACCTAGAGCCCTTTGGTTTTGGAAAGATTGTCTAGGTCTCAGGAGAGAGAGGAGAGCCTTCCGTGCTCTACTTGCCCTCCTTCCTTCTCAGAAGAAAGACGTAGGTTTTACTGAGAGCTAGGAAGGACCTTGGGGCCCAGAGCCTGAAACAGGGCTCCCAGACTCCCCTCAAAGTCAGCGAGAACTCGCGACTTGATGGCATCACCACTGCACACCCTCAACTTCTCACTCCAGCGTCCTTCCTGTATTTGGTCAAGGATCACAGGAGAGAAAGTCAGGGAGGAAATACTCTTTCTTTCTTTTCTAAGAAATACTTTGAGGATGCTCCCTTAAAAAAAAAAAATGTCTATTTTCACTTATTTATTTGGCTGCTCTGGGTCTTAGTTGTGGCATGTGGAATCTTGTTCCCTGACCAGGGATTGAACCCGGGCCCCCCTGCATTGGGAGTCTGGAGTCTTAGCCACTGGACCACCAGTGAAGTCCCAGAAAGTACCTTTTCTTGATGATTTTTCCACTGTCCACCAGTGCCTCAGCTCCTCTTTGGCAGGAAGACCACCCTTTTCTCCACATCCCTGGGCACTGGTGTGCTGGTCAGTGCTAAATGTGGCTCTCCACCACCCAACCCCCCTCCAGTCCTGGGTGGCAGCATTTGCCCCCTTGAGCAGTATGAACACTCCCACAGGACCTGGTCTGAGCTTCTGTCATGATGCCCCTGCACGGGGTGATGTGGGACTGGCACTGCTCAGTCCTGCCCTCCCACCCTCACCCTCTGCTCTTCTCCCTGCACCTCTCCCCCAGGGTGCCGGGGTCTGTCCTGGAGGACTGGTGATCCCCCAGGCTCCAGAGCACAAATAATTGTGCTCAAATCATTAGGACATGATGGGGCTTGTTATTACACATGATTTATAAGTTCACATAACTAAAATGTTAGTGACGACTGTGTAACAGCTGACTGGCAAAGTTCTTGAAAACTAACCATCGGTACCAGCCCATCCTGCCCACCTGTGGCCTGGGCAGCCATGGGTTCCAAACAAGCTCTCCATGGGCCCCAGAATGTGCCCTTCTGGCAGCAGTAGCACATGTGCAGGGGCAATTCTTGGTTCTGGATTTTTCAGGGGACACTGTGATGAGGAAATTGCAACGGGAGGGCTGAGGTGGGTCTGGGAGAGGGGGTTAGCCTCCAGTCTTCATATTGCATTCCTGACCCCAACTGCCTTGAGATAAAGGCTAAGACCCAGGGCGCAGCCAACCGAGGGTCCGGACTGATGCTCTGGGCACTGGGGCCGGACGCAAATGCAGACTCTGCCGCTGGTTGCTTTGGCCAGCCCACGCCTCCTGCCTCAGCGCAACGCCACTCCCTCCCCGCCAAGTGGCTCTGCGTTTGGGAGGCGGGATCGAGTTCTTCGGTGGCCCCAGGAGGCTGCAAGCTTTGGGAGGCTGGGAGAGGAGGGAGGGAGAGCGCTGACTGGGCAGTCCAAAGAGGAGGGGGCCTTTAATAGGCTCGCCCAGCTCCTGGTTTGAGGCGCTGCGAACCGCTGGGGTTCGGAGAAGCGGCCGGCACCTCCCTCTAGCTCTCTGCTGCAAATCTTCGTCCTTGCACTTGACAGCGATTGTACTTAAGCTCCCTGGGCGCGCTCTGCTTGGAAAGGCACAGGTAGGAGGCGCGAGCTGCCCGGTGCACGCTCACAGCTCTGGGAGGAGTCTCCCTCCCTGGGGTTCTCCTTTCTGGGAGCTGCGGGCGGCCCGGGGCGTCGGTGGTTCCGGTGTGCGGGCTGCAAGGAGACCGTGCAGGCGGCCGGGGAGCCGGGCCGGGCCCTTCCGAGAGCGCGGCTGTGCGCTACCCGGCGCCATGCTTCTGCTGGGCATCTTAATGCTGGTTCTCGCCGGGGCACCCGCTGGCGGCTCAGAGCCAGAGCGGGAGGTGGTGGTTCCCATCCGACTAGACCCGGACATCAACGGCCGCCACTACTATTGGCAGGGTCCCGAGGACTCCGGGGATCAGGGACTCATTTTTCAGATCACAGCGTTTCAGGAGGACTTTTACCTACACCTGACGCCAGATGCTCAGTTCTTGGCACCCGCCTTCGCCACTGAGCATCTGGGCGTCCCCCTCCAGGGACTCATTCGCAGCTCTCCGGACTTGAGACGTTGCTTCTATTCTGGGGACGTGAATGCCGAGCCAGATTCGTTCGCTGCCCTGAGCCTGTGCGGGGGGCTACGCGGAGCCTTCGGCTACCGGGGCGCCGAGTATGTCATTAGCCCGCTGCCCAACACCAGCGCGCCGGCGGCGCAGCGCAACAGCCAGGGCGCACACCTCCTCCAGCGCCGGGGCGCCCCCGGAGGGCCTCCCGGAGATCTCACGTCTCGCTGCGGGGTGGGCTCAGGCTGGAACCCCGCCATCCTGCGGGCCCTGGACCCTTACACGCCTCGGCGGATCGGCTTAGGGGAGGCTCGCAGCCGACGCAGGTCCGGGCGCGCCAAGCGCTTCGTCTCTATCCCGCGATACGTGGAGACGCTGGTGGTGGCGGACAAATCGATGGTCAAGTTCCACGGCGCGGACCTGGAGCACTATCTGCTGACGCTGCTGGCCACGGCGGCGCGGCTGTACCGCCACCCCAGCATCCTCAACCCCATCAACATCGTAGTGGTCAAGGTGCTGCTTCTCGGAGACCGCGACACGGGGCCCAAGGTCACGGGCAATGCGGCCTTAACGCTGCGCAACTTCTGCGCGTGGCAGAAGAAGCTGAACAAAGTGAGTGACAAGCACCCGGAGTACTGGGACACGGCCATCCTCTTCACCCGGCAGGTGAGTAGATCCGTCATCTCTTTGGACCCAGGTAGCCCCCATTTTGGGGGGGGGGGGCGGGAGTGCCCGCCCTTAACTTTCCGAATGTCCTTTATGCCGCGCAGTCACCTCCTCACCCTCGAGTTTGAATTGCGTTGATCTCTTCCGACTGCCACTTGGGCTTTTCGGGGAAAGCCTGCCGCTAGGCTCGGCGGAGCTCTGACTCGCGTGCATGCGGACGCACGTGGGCGGTAGGAGGAACGCCCGCTCCTTCGGAAGGTGTTGGCCCGGCGCGGCCAATGACGCCGAGGGGCCGGGACCCAGGAAGTTGCCGCCCCGGAGCCGCCGCTGGTCTGCACGGCCTATAGGAGGCGCCCCGAGGATGGTGTTGGAGAGTCCGGCTCTCCTTCAAGGGGGCGTCCGAGTCCTTCCGGACCCTCCTTCCCAGCCTTCCTTCTTTTGCTCGGGGACCTGGGAGCTGAGCGCTCGCTGTTCTTCTCGAGGGCAGCACGTTGCAGTCCTCTTTCCGTCTTGGGCCTGGGAGGTCTGGATTAGGGTGGGGGGCTCGTTGGGATTTTTTCGTGGGTTGCAGCGAAAGGGCAGACTCACGTACAGGGAGCCTTCCCTTCTTGCTGCTTCTCTCTCCCCGGGCAGCACGGGGTCTGGCTCCTCTCGGAGGGGCTTCAGGCCCATTCAGAGCAGGCAGAGTAGTCAGAGAGTTCGGAGCCTGGAGCTCCAAGTGGAGCTTCGCCCGGAGCTGAGCTGAGCTGTCCAGTACCCCTGTCGGCAGGTCGGGGGATGGGGGACCTGGGCGCCCTGAGGTAGCTCCGGAGGAGCAGGCGCACTGACCCGTCCTGTGAGGGCTCCAGCTCCCACCCCCGGCCGCGCAGGAGTCAGCTCAGGGACAGAGTCCGCAGATCCCGGCTGCAGGGCTGGAAAGACACCGAGTCTGGGGATTAGAAAGGTCAGAACAGCAGATCAGAGAAGCCTTTGGTGCTATGGATCTATTGACATTTTAGATTCATAGATTGGGTGCTGAGTTGTCAGAATCTTGAAATTTCTCAGGTATGAGAGACTGCGAGGGAAGAGGGCGTCAGTGTGACCTGCTTCCTCGGACCCTGGGAGCTGGGGCTTGAATCAGTGCCAGGCTCTCGCTTGGCTCATGTCATAACCACAGCCTTCTGGGGACGGCACGGAGCCCTCAGGTACCTGTGGGGTCCTGAGTCTCCACTGAATGCAGGTGGGCTGGTGCACACGGGGCTGGGGCAGGAGCCTTCCACACTGACCCAGCTGGCACAGCTGGGCCCTGCCTGGGGCTGAACTTCCTCCTTTCCCAGCCTTCTCCTCCCACCACCTGGCTCCTCTAGGGAGGTCTTTGGCCCGAGTCTGTTTCCTTGTGTTCATTCTTCCAACTGAGGTCTGTGGAGCTGTCACTGCCCGGCTCCTCCTAGCTCTGCCTGAGTCACAGGAAAGCTGCAAGGGAGGAGGCCTCGACCTCTGCACACAGATCAGCTCAGCAGTCAGACGGCTGGGGAGAGAGCAGAGGCCGTGAACAGGATCTCTTAATGGGCAAAGCAGCTGTTGGCCTACCTGCTACCCGGGATGCCCTGTGAAGGTTGCTCACTGGTCTAATGTTACAGACCTGTGTCTCTGCCGCCTCGTGGCATGGCTCACTTTTGGAACCAGTCCTGGGAACAGGACTCCTGCAGGAGTATAGGTC